TACATAATAATTATAAAATTGAATTGCGCAATTTTTATTTGAACTGTATAATATGTCATAATTCTTAATTATATAACAGCTGCTCCCTTAAAAATGTATAATTATGGCTATGCTGCTTGACTAGTGATAATTGATAAATCGGCCCATAGTGAAAATAATTCGTATATACGCCACTGACTGATACATCAGCAATCGTAAAATAACATTCTTTGGCAATTCCGGATACCGCGGATACTAATGCTGCAGTAGAATCGATTTTTTCAACCATCATTAATGTGTTGTAGACAGAAGAAACAAATCGTTTGTTTTTTGGTTGAAACTATCAAATAAATTGTCATTGTGAAAACACATTTTTAAAACTATTATTGTAATGCGTTTCGTAATATTTTATTTAAAGAAACTCAGGTCCTTGATGCAATTATAGTTCGGCACAAAGTACACAAAAAAAATTGAAGAAGAAATTGACTAGCAATCGTCATCAAATTAAATTAATTTTGGATTTTTATGTACATATTAATAATTTATTTGTATTTCAAAACTATTACACAGCACACATTTAATTTGTTTTTTTTATATTATTATATTTAGTTATAGGTAACAAAAGTTTCCCGTATTTTTATTTTATTTGCATGCTACTGTATAGACACACTAGGTTAAGTTATACATTAATCAATAATCATTATAGGTACTGCATTATTTAGTAATACGGAGACAACACATGCGTGTTTAACATCCATTAAATGTAAGATATCCAAAATATTATTGTAGTTCTATAAAATGTTAAAAGCAAAAGTTGTACAGCGTTGAGTTTTATTAATTCTAAATACCTAACGTAAGACAAATTTTTTTTCAAATGCAAGCTTTGTTTAAAATAATATTATATTATGATAATTGTGTATCCAGAAGCGAATCAAGATAAGTTTATTCCATTAAACAACACAGTACTGCAAGAATCATCGAGTCATCGAATATATTAAACGAAACCTATATTATGTATATATATATGTGTGTGTGTGATAACACTATTAAATAAGTAATATATGTAATTATAACTCATAAAATACATAATATAGTTTGATAATATATTATGCGTGAACAAATGAACAAAAATAAATTTCGAAAAAGAACAAAAAAAGTACAGGGGGCACCCGGGTTTGAACCGGGGACCTCTCGATCTGCAGTCGAATGCTCTACCACTGAGCTATACCCCCGCCATGTCTTAGGCAGTTGATTCCAACTTACTTAAGAAGATGTCCGTAATATAACTTCAATAATTTTGTTAAAACCAGTCTTAGTAAAAATACCAAGTTAAATAAAAACATATAAAGGGATTATCTGGGTCATAACATTTCAAATTTTTGTAATTATTTATCTATTAATAAGTACTCTCTATTTTGTAATTGTTTCATTCGCTTATTAAAATTTAAAAGATACTTTACTAGATGCCCACCTACAAAATAAAGTATGAATAAGTACGAATAAAATAAGAACGCCGTTGCACAGTTAAATTTCTCCTTTATTATGAATTAGATAACTTCAAAATAAATAGTTACTCTCGGATAGTGGCGTTTTGAACTAAATTACTATTTACAACCCCTACTTAAAAATCAAAGATTTGAACATACCACCCATTGTATTTAAATATACCAACCTACCAAAACTGTTATAAATTACGATGTCTTGTAATTTTCTTCTTCTTTAAACTATTAAATAAAATGAATTGATACCTATCCGTTATATTATTTGGAGTCCTGTCCGAAGGAGTTTATCTGGAGACAGGACATACAAGTAGATCCATTCAATGATTTGTTAAAAAATATTTCCGAAAATAAGTCACCAAAAATAAAGTTTTGGACGCTATTTATTATTATTATTTAACTCTCAACTGCTGTGATATTATAGACTGTGATAATTTTTTTTATAATTAATTGTTGATAATGATTTAATGTTCATATAGGTAATAACACGGAAGTTGCAGTATCGGGCATTCGGGCGGTTGTCCTGATAACGAATAAGTACCAATTAATTAATTATTACTTATGAATTTATGATAATATTACAATATTATACAATAACCGACCCGGCAATGCTTCGCTATTGCAACTTGCAAGATTTCTCAGATATTATATTAATATTTATTTTCTGGATGTTAAATAATTATTTTTATTTTAGACCATTTTTAGTCACGTCTCCGTGATAATGTATACGTATAAATTAGCGTCGAAACCGCAGACTCTTCACAATTTTGAAAAAAAATTATATCGTCTGTTTTGGGTTACCACGATTACCAAACAATTATTATATTAATAATACTATTATTTTAAAATGTTCATAGGTATCTCTTCAAAGATTGTTTTAAAAGATACAAAATAGAACTTTTAATTTTCAATTTTGACTTTTCAAGAGTCCAACTAAATATAATTTGCTACCAGAAATCTCCATTGATTAATTATAAATACTAATAATAGATATTAGATACTCAGATGAAATTAATTGTTTTTTTTTTTTTTTGCCAAGCTAAATAATTATTATAATTGTTTATTATTCCACGTCGATACCGACTTGCCTAGAAACATCTGTGGTTGTGTAGTTTGATTGTTATTTATTTTCAGCCAGCGAGTATTTCTTACTAAAAAAGGTATGGGAATACAATTAACACGTTTATTTTAATTGATAATAACTAATTATAAATTAACTTTATTGGACTAAATTCATGCCTAAAACCTTCTTTGTGATGCCCTCTTTAGTTTAAAAAAAAACTGCATGACAATTGAATAAGTTGTTAGGGAGTTTATCTCAAACAAAAGAAAGCGACTTCATTTTATTTTATTTTATTTTATTTTCAATCCGTGCTCTTGTCACTCTCTGCATGATGATGAATTGGCTACTTACCTCTATTAGCATGCTCAATAAACCTTCATAAGTAAAATCAAAAAAATTGTATCAAACTAAGCACAAACTATGCTCTAACAATAAACAATTAATAAATAATAATGAAAATCGTTGCCGGGCAACGCGAGAGATTTTGATTGTTATTTATTTCCAGCCAGCGACTATATATCTTACTAAAAATGTATAGGTATACAATTTACACGTTAGTTTTAATTGATAATAACTTTATACATTTTTTTTTATTGACAAAAGTGGTACTAAAACAGTAAAACCTTCAGCAGAGTGTCAGGTATAACAGTAAAAAAATTTCAGCCAAATCGATTCAGTAGTTTTCTCAGTTAGCATGGTCGTAGAAAACCCCTTACAATTTTCGGTGCACCGTAACTCCGCGCGGATCGTCACCATTTTATAATAAATCACCTTAAATCCGTATGGAAGGTTTTTTTCGACACCTTAACTCCACATACAAGATTTTTTTTAACACCCTAACTCCGCACACAGTATAAATATATTATATACACATAATAGGTATTTATTATTGTATTAATTTATTTATTTTAAATACAATATATTATGTTATTAAAATTAGATAAAAATAATATTTTAGAATTAAAAGGTAATACTGGAAACGGCTTAAACAGTCTAATTTAAACATAGTATAATATTAATAATAAAGACAATTTGCAACAAACTAGTCATCGGTAAAATAAAATATAAAATATCTAATGTATTGCATTAACTGAATTCAAACTCTTTACAAAATTATATCCATCAATTTGGTTGTCGTTATATAATTGTATTTTTTTATTTATAAATTGGAAATTATTTTTTTGTTGTATTCTAATTATCCTACTTTCATTATTATTGGCAAAATGTATTCGTATATAAGAGTCCGTCTGCATGGCTAATAAATTTGTAATGAAAACTGCAATATTTGGATTTGCGGAAGTAAATAAATTACTTTATTACTTTACTATTATATCAGTTTTATGACATGTGGACTTTTGGTGTTTGAAATTTAGAATACGGAGCTACGGTACGTCCACAATTTTACATAATGGTATAGATATTATATTCCTGATCTCTATGTCTCTATAGTCTTCGCAAAATAGGACCTATACAATTCACTGTCGTGTATTTTAGACTGTAGTCAATATAATTTTGTAACATCTATATTATACATTATATTATATTATATTATAATGATGTTGTAATGTAATTTATAATATAGAGAAATAAAATGTCCACAATTAAGTAGTTAAAATAGGTTAAACCAGCGAACTATCGAACCAATATATGCTGAGGTGACACAAAAATATTACTAATTAACACCGCCGCAAGCGCAGGTCCGGGTAGTCCACCGTTGTGAAACTCAAGTAGGTAGTGGCAAGGTGTGGATCGTAGATGCAGCGGTCGTATTTGAGTGAGCGATAACTAATCACGGGCAGAGTTTTTATTTTAGTTTTTATTTCTGACCAAAAACTGTGTTTAGATTTCATTTTAATCATTTGACGTTCTTACCTTTTAAACGGAACAGAGCATGAACAATGAATAGGATATGCGTGCTTTGAGATTGGGAAGTTTGCTTAAACTGAATTTCGCTGCGGTGTATTAAATCTTGAGTCACCCACTCACCCTGCTTTAGAAAGAAAGAACGTAAAATAGACAAGCGAGTGCCATCATATCTCATTAAAGCTGATTTATTTCTCCATTGATTTTATATGCTAAACTGTTGTTTCTGTACTCAAATCATCATAATTAAAAAATATTTTTTTCTAAATACTATAGTAACCATTCAAATATACTAGATACCAGATGATCAATAACCCACTTTTCTTGTCTAATTACTGGTTAATACTTTATTCTTATACCTGTTCAACATTTATAAATAGGTACCTACACAACTTAAAATGGAAAATGAAGATTATGAAGCAATAACATTTCACAATGTCCCAGTGGAAAATTTAATCGACTCTAGAAAATACTGTGATCGAAGAAAGATATTTGAAAATAGAGATAATTTTATATTTGATGGTAAAGCATAAAATAAAATTAAGTTACTCATAGGTATATTTTGTTCAACAAAATCCATCTATATAAAATTAAAATTGATTACGTACATAATATGTAATATAATATATAACTTGTATAGTTACATGATTACATGTATATTTAAAAAAATCAGTTTGCTTAAAATATTTTCAGAGTTATATTTTTTACTTCCATATTTTCTTACTTCTCTAGAATTCTGTATCTCGTAAAATTAAAATTATTATAAAACATTTTTTTTCTTAGATATTCTAATTTAATAAATGTATATACTTGAAACTAAATACTCTTATTCATATTATTTTTGAAAAGAAATAATTTAATTCCCAAAAAATTTCGATCCCTAATGAGATAATTACAGACAAATGATATTTTTATTCTTAGCTTTTTTCAATATATGTTACTATTTTTCTAAAAACTTAAAAATGTAATACATAGTTCATCCGAGTAGAGGATACGACCAACTTTATATAAAAAAAATTACTGTCTAACATTGAATATAATAGAGATGATAAATTAATTATAATTCCTGAAATATGAGTATGTTATGTAAATTATAACTAAATTATACAAAACTATATTATACTTATTTAATACCTATAGAAAATCCAAATATTTTTTAAAAGCATTTTGAATATTTTTTTTTTTTACAATACTCTGTCCTCTACAATAGGGGCTTCAAACTTTTTGAATATAAAAAAATTAAAACTTATTGAAGTATACTACCTACTGAGTTATAGAGTACTGGCGAAATGAAATGACATTATCAAATGATTTGCAATCATAAATTAACAATTGCTCGTATAATAATTTTTAAGACTTATTACCTATATAAAACCAACTTCTGTATTTTTAATTAGTTGGAGACCTCATTTGAATATTGTTTCGATTAATATTTTATAGATCACGATGAAGCACCTCAAAACAATATTGAAGCAGCACTTGAAAAAAATGAAACTGAGGATTCAGATGAAAAGTTAGTTGTTTTAGAAAAAGAAGAGAGGAAAGTACTAAGAAAGTGTAATATATGGAGACGCCAAAATATCGATACGTAAAATGATGTGTATTATTTAATAATTATATTCTTTAAAGAAATCACTACAACGTAATTTTTAACATTGAAACTAGTATCGAAAATGCAGTGGCTAAGCGAAAATTTCAACAAAAAATGATAGTACAACCACCTGTAGTTAAGAAAATTGAAAACAGTGAATTTGAACTAGGCAATATTATCGAAGAATTGAATAATTTTATAGAAGGAAAATGTTTGATTTTCCATACAAATGAATATGAACGTGAATGGATCGACAAAAATATCAATCAAAAAAGATTATCTGAAGTTAAAAATACATTAATTGAAATAAATAAAAAATGTATGGACATTGATGATAAATTGAAAAAAACCAGTAATAAAGAAGATATATTGGTGATACAAGACGATATTATTTCACTAAAAAGTAAATTTTTACTAATGCAATGTAGAAAGAGTAGAAATTATTATAAGTAGAGGTAAATTGTTTTTTTTTTAGAAGAAAGTTTAGATCTTCTTAAGCAAAAAGACAAAATTATCGATAAACTATTAGAAGGACTAGAAGAATTGTTAACTAAATCGTTCAATGAAACATCTTCTAATACGAACGATCTGAATAAACTGAATGAAATCGCAAACAATAAATTACACATCCTTAAAGAAGAGCATAAAAAGTATTATTTAGCTATTACTGTAAGTAAACATTAAATAATAAATGTACATGATATATTATCATACCCATATACATATATAAAGAAACAATGATAGTCTATATTTATACCAAATCACATAATATTTTAAGAAATTGATTGAAGATACTAAAAATGAAAAAAATAACAAAGATTCTACTAATTGGAGGCTTTTGATGAACAAAATCATTAATAAAATATCAAATGCAGCATTAAAACGGTTGGTACTTATTGAAAAGAACAACTTCGAATTATTAAAGCTATTTAAGACCAATGAAGAGAACACAAAAATGTTTAGATTAGAAACAACTGAAAATTATATTGTAAGTAATAAATACAAAACAATTGTAAATTATATATTTATATACATTTATAATATATTTTATTAATTAATAAGTAACAATCAAACATAAACATCAAACGATTGAACCAAAATAAATTTTGTTGATATGCTCAACTCTATTCCACTGCAGTCCACACGATCTTGCATACCTATCGACGTATCGGGTATCGCCATATTATGTCAAATAGTGGCAAAGAGTACCTATGGTTGTTTACTCTGTAGAATGCACAATGTATTTTTTTTTTTTATTGAACTTAAGCCCGGCAACTAAGGCTGATTTTGGGGTAAGGTTAGGTTGGTAAGGAAGATTGTTTAGATGATTGTAAAGGTTGTTACGGTAGGTAGCAAACAAGTGTATGTGTGCCAAGGTTTTTACCTACTATGAACCCGGGTGGTTACCCATCTGGGAGCTAGAAGCTGTGGCGTTACTTACTCCTGGTCGCATTCCGCGACTGGTAGCAACCAACGCATCACGCCAAGCCACGCAATGTATTTTATTAGTTCCGTTTAACGGCATCTCTTGCGGGCTGCGATGACAACTTAGTCACTCACGCTTTGCATGTTTCTAGCAGCTTTAGACAAGCAATATTATTTCTATTTTTTTGTTATCACTATAAGATTGTTTATGTATGTTTACTTTTATCAAGGGGCTAAGTCCGTAAAATAAATTAAATATGTAAATAAAATAAAATAATAAAAATCACATATTATTATAAATATATATATTGAGGGTACGGTTGAAAGTTTGAAAGTAAATATTAAGATTTGACTTATGAAATGTCTGTTTGTGGTAATACAATAAAGGGTGTAATAAGCTGAGTTGAATAGTGCATTACGTTTTTACCCGCATAAAAAAAGTAATGTGTTTGGGCAAGTTTCATATAATGCTTATATTTGAGCGAGTTTTAATTGAACGATACATTGGTACAATATAATAAATAAAATTGTAAAGATTAGAATAGAAAATATTATATTAAATATATAAAACAAAACAAGTACATTTTTTTACTTTTAGATTCTGAGCGGAGCAATGATTGAATGTATTGATTTTACAATGGTGTGTTTTTATATTAAATTTTTTTTTTTTTTGTGTCTGTAATCACGGGTTCTCGCAGTAAAAGTGCTTCGATTTTCTTAAATAGCAGCGTTTCTGGTAGGTTAGAGGTTTTTTTCTGGTAGGAAAGTTAAGCTAATTGGTGCGATCGGGAGGTCAAAATTGAAAATTCCCTAAAGTTTTCAAAAGCAACAGGAAAAACAAACAAAAAAACTAAAGAAAACGGTAATTTTTACACAAAACCATTTTTCGAAAAATTGATTTTGGTTTTTAGTGTAACTCTAACAAAAATGACCTTAGATTCATGAAATGTTCACTGAATATTTGTATAAGCATTTTCTATACACCGTAAAATGTTCAAAGTATTTTGATTTGTGTTGAACTATTTATAGGCAAATGAAATTTTCGATTATTATTTGTTTTTTTTAAACTCAAGTTGATAAAAAAATGTTCGCTGTGTCGAAAAACTTGAAATCGCAATACAAGGTTCCTTGTAAGGTGTTGTTAATGGAAATTTAAAAAAAAGTTGAGTGTAAATTCACAATATTTTTTTACGAATGTTTAAACTTAGAATTTTGACAAAATTCGTAAAAACCATGAAAATTAGCAAATTATATTTAGTTAGAAATTCATAAATATTTTTCTATTTAAATCTAAGATTTAAAAATCGAATACAAGATTCCTTACAAGTTTTTCTATCTTTAGGGGGACTTATCGATTCCGCCAATTTAGCATCGATTCCGCCAGTATCGACTCCGCCAGTTCAGGTAGTCTAAAAACAACCTATCGATTCCGCCACCTACCAATTTCTACCTCGACCTGGCAACTGCTGCTGTCAACCTATTTCTGTTATAATAATAATAATATATCTAAAAAATAATTCAATAATTAATTTAAATATTAAAAATAAAATTAATAATCAGTTTAATAATTAATACAATACAATATATATATATAATAATACAATTAAATTAGTCAAATATGGTTTTAAGTTATACAATGATATTTTTATGGTATGATGGATGCCAAACTAATGCAATGTGAATTAATATATACATAAAATAATAAAATATAGTTAAATAAATAAAATTGTATAATAATAATAATATAGGTATCTACAAAATAAGTCAATATTGAATTTTAATATAAATTAATAAAAAATTATTTTTTCCCTGGCGGAATCGATAGGTCGTTTAAACTATATCTGCATTGGGGGAATCGATGCTGGCGGAATCGATAAGCCTTATACCCAAGTTTAAAATGGTCTGGCGGAATCGATGAAACCCCGTTATCAAAGTACTTACCTCTACTATTTCCAGAGTTGGAAAAGTTCCTTTTAAAAAGGAACTCGTTCCCGTTCCTCGTTCCTACTGTAGAAAAGGAACTCGTTCCCGTTCCTCGTTCCTGTCGCAAAAAAAAAAAGCGTTGCCGTTCCTTTACACATTTTTTACGATTCAAGTGGTGGTCAATGGTGTTTTTTGCGAACAGTTTTTAAGTCAGAAATAATCGGACCGAGAGAATTAACCGATTATTTCTGACTTAACAATTTTTCGCAAAAAATACCATTGACCACCACTCTTTTTTGACCACTCCTTTCTAAGGAGCACCGATTTTTAACAAAAATGATTTGTCTTAGGTTTATTTGTTATAATTCAAAAGTTGTGTAACTTGTAGACTTGAAACTTTCCCCAGTTAAAAGTTTATTATTTTGACTAAAAATGCACTCCTTCACTCAGAACTATTTATTATTTAATAATCAATATAAAATATAAATATATAATGTGAAGTATCAACACTGTCTATACTCTATGTCTATCTATATAAATATAAATATTGCATTATTGCATATTATACATGTATATTACTATAGTATACAGTATTACAGTGTATACTACACACGATACACCACACATAGAGACACGCTATAGGTTATAGCCCATTGTTCTATGATAGGAGTATAGGACATAGAGATAATAGTGTAATACAATAATCTGTTTTTTTTAATTAAATTTATTTCCTATTCTAAAAAATGGAAATGAAGAATGAAAAAAACAATTCATCAATTTACTTTAAAGGCAAAATATTTATATATTATTTTCATTTATAATAAAGATGAAAAAATATTTTGATACTAACATTCTGTTTTGTTTGAGAAGAACTAATTATTTTTCAAACAATGAATTTTAAATGGAAATTAATTTGATTCCCATTTGTCTACGACAAAATTATTATTATTTGGTTATACAGATTATTTGTAAAACACATCAATATTTCGAGAACGTGTTTCATTCATTGGTCCATGGCGCGCGGAACCGGTGTCGACACGTAGTCAACCGACGGCGTCGAGGCTCAGTTTTAACGCGGAAACACACTATAATATGCGCTACATAAATACTGTGGCACTCAATGTGTTAAAAATAACTATTTTTTTCATTATTTGAGAAACGGAAATTTTTTTTTAAGTTCCTTAAAAATAGGAACTCTTTCCCGTTCCTCGTTCCTAGCTATAGTTATAGAACGCGTTCCGAGCTTCGTTCCTATTAAAGGAACGCGTTCCTTCCCAACACTGACTATTTCTCTATCAAGTCAAGCACTAAATACATAGTATCATTGTACAATATATTAAAACGTAGGTACCTATATATATTTAATTAATGTATGAATTGCGGGTTAAAGGGAGTTGATACCGATTTGGAATTTGTTAAAATCAGATGTTCAACAAATATAGAAAAACTTAAATATAATTGCCATGTTTTAAAAAAAAAAATAGAAGATAATAATTTTAGAATAGTCAATCAAAAAAGAAGGATTAATTTGTAAGTATATTGTACAAAGCACAAAGATTCATAGGTTTGTTAAATAATAATGCAACAAACATTTTCTAGTTTACAAGAAATTGTGTATAAGCTGAGAGAAAAATGCAATAAAATCGAATCCGACCTTAAAACCAAAAAGTCTACAATTGAAAAACAAATTATAAGTATTAATGAAAAAATTGATCAGCAAGAAAAAAGAGCTGATTCTGTTGCAAAGAAAGATAACAACGAATACTTACAATTGTGGGACCATCAACTTAATGATATCATACATTACATAAATAGAGTAAAATTTATGTTTCTACTTTAAAATTGGTTTTTGGTCATTTTTTAGATTCTGAGGAGAGCAATGAATGAATTCATTTTACAATGACGTGTGGTTTTTTTTGTACCTGTCGGCTGTCATCATCTTTTGGGAAGGTAAAAATCCTTCGATTTTCTTCAACAGCATATATTCTGGTAGGAATGTGAATCTAGTTGGTTACTTTGGGAGGTTAAAAGTGAAAAATTACCACCAAAAAAAGAAAAATTCTAAAAATAATAATCGTAAATACATAAAATAATCACAGTGTTTGTATTAGATATTTCAAAATTGAAAATCTCCGTTGTCAGCTTAAAACAAAACAAAATATTTTGAAAATGTTATCAAGTACATGCATTGATAAAATAAACATACCTTGTAAATTTTGAGTGTCTACAGTTATTAGTTTTTGAATTACAACAACATAAGAAACTCGCTATATGAGAAAGTGAGTAAATATTAAATATTGTAAAAATTTCAACTTCGAACGCTCATAAAAATTTAATTTGACTTTCCGGTAGAAATTTTATTTTTGATTAAAATAGACAAACTTATAAGAAATCTTGTGTTAAATATTTAAATCTTAGATATACAAAGAAATTTTTTTTTGAATTTCTAATTCAAAATAATTTGCTAATATTTTGGATTTTCACGAATTTTATCGAAATTCTAAATTTAAAAACTCAGAAAAAAATACTGTGGATTAAGCTACACTTTTTTTAATTTCCACTAACAACAACTTACGAGAAAGTTTCTATTACATTTTCAAGTTTTTTGAACTCTTCAACATATATATAAAAAACAAACAAAAATCGAAAATGGCATATGTCTATGCCATAGTGTATAAAAAACGCAGATATAAATATTCAGTGAAAATTGCATGTACCTTCGTTTTTTTTTAGTTACATCAAAAACCAAAATCCATTTTCAAGAAAAATTACCATTTTTCCTTAATATTTTGTTCGTTTTTCCTTTTGAAAACTATTAGACATTTTTTACTTTTGACACCCCAAAGTATCATTTTATTTTATTAGACTCACTTTCCTACCGTAAAAGATGCGGTTGAAAAAAATCGAAGCATTTTTATTTTCCCAAAAGGTGATGTCAGACACAAAAAAACACATCATGGTAAAATCAATATATTCATTGCTCCGCTCAGAATCTAATATCCTAGACTGACATACCGTCTCCGCTCAAAATCGTTTTTCGAATACAATGTTATATCATTGAATTCAAATTTAATACTATCCATTACTGCAACCTCCTATACACCTAATGTACAGCGAAGCGACACCCACTTACCCGCTTTTTATTTTTATTTTAGGTTCGTCAAATAGATTATTTTATACGTGAGTATTTCAGTTTAAATGGCAAGACACATTTCTGTGAAAAACTCACTATAGATGACGATGATACAATAGTGCCATTTTTGAAACACATTAATAATCTAATATTATATGAGCCTGCACACAACAATTTAAACACAAATTATTATGAACATATTAGAGATAAAGCTCTAAATAATCTGTTATTGGATTTCATTGTTAGGAATTCGAGTTTTGTGTTTGACCATAACTTAAATGGAATTCTTGAGTCAAACTCAATGCGGAATTTATCATACGCGTATAATGCTTTCAGTGATTTAAAACTAAATAAAGAAGAATCTTGGGATCTCATAAAATCTAAATTTAAGCCATATGTGACATGTATTGTTTGTAATTCTCAAATAAATTGGGAATCGGGTGAAATTGTCGGACCCTCAGAAAGTGAACAAAAAATGTGTAGGAATATAATATCAGAAAATTGGTACTTATACTTGTAGATTTCAAACATATCATTAATCAAGCCACTCAAAAGTTTCTTATAATTAATACATGATTTTGTTGGTAGCATCAACGAACCGAAATCGAGCAAATATTTATACTTTGACAAATTATGTAGAAATATAACTGAGCATAACAAAAATATTGACAAACTTCAAAAAACAGATCTATTGCGTCAATTTATGAATGACACGTAGGTATATTTTAAATGTAAAAAGAAGTTCTAAAAGAGCTGATAATAATGGGTAGTACCTAATAAATGTAATAAATTATTCATTTCAAACAAACTTTCAGTTTCTTACAGAACTTTGCTATTTAGTGAGCCAATGGTTTTGTATATGTTTAATAACTATTGATTAAGATAATGAACTTTGATACTTATCATCAAGGATCTTACAAATTTGCTTCATTTTAGAATACCTATTGGCTATATATATAGTTATTAGTTATTACCATTAAAATAAATAAATAAATAACAAACGCTGAAACACAAACAAAAAAAAATTTAAAAATTTAAAAATTACATTAATTGTTTGTGGTTTATAGTGCATGTTCAAACAATATTACATTTGAAAATATTTATGAAGAACAAAATAATAAATATTCGAAAATTGTAGTTGACGGTATGTACCTGATATGAATTGACAATTAAATTATACTAAAACAAAAAATCAGTGAAAACTCAAAACAATAATAATGATTGATGAATTGTGTTTTAATTAATATGACTCATATTCGTCAGTCCTCACTCATTTCGTCATTCGATTATTATTATTGTGCATTAACGATTTTTCGTATTTACTTAAGTATTGTGTTTTACATACAAATTGTAATTTTTAATAAAATTAGTACCTACATTTAGAAAAAAATTCATATCTGAATGAAACTATTTAGATTTTAATTGTACATTTAAATATAAAATATTATATTGTATTATTTTACCCGTTGAATTTATTTAGACAATACATCACTTAACCACGCTCGATGTGGAAATTCGAATCATGAATTATCCATTGACAACAAGCATTTCATGCATATAATGAAAGAGATAATAAAAGAATCGCAATCAACGAGTTTCTCAAAACCAAAGTCATTAAACCAAAGATTAAAAAAAGAATACAATTTTATACAGTGGAAAATCAGTGTAAATGATTTACAAGCATATTGGTCTCGGCTCGTCAAATACATTCCAAGTAATGTTGATTCGTGGAAAATATACTACGAGGAACTCGGACATTATTATAGATCTTTAGTTGGTAAATCAATATTATAGATTTCTAAATTATTACAAAATATTTCATTATTTTACTCATGATAGTTCGCCAAAAAAGAATGCTAATGGCAAAAACATTACAAGCTGAAAATACAAAGTTGAAAAAAATAATATACGAATTAGAAGAGAATAATTATAAAAATAATATTTGAATATAATATATGAACTAATGTATATAATCAAATATCTTAATAAATGTTCTATACAATATTATTGTGATTAGAGTAGTATTATAATTTTACTATTAGTATTACAGCTAGTAAAAAAACTAATTTGTACAGAAAAAATTACACTTCAAAATTTTATTTTACGTATAAAATATAATAATGTATATTAAAAGTTTCAAGTACCCACGAATAATATTTTTAATTTCAAAAAAATACCTAAAATTGCTATTCTTCGTTTGAATATGTATAATTTTGTCTACATTTTAACTTGAAATATCCATATTGAAAACTGTGTTTATATTTTTATGACTTCTGAGAATCCTGTAAAAACTTAACATTTTATATATTTTTAACTTCAAGATAATTTGTGAATTTTCGAGATTAGAAAATCAAAGCATTTTTAATGCTCCAAAAGGCAATGACTGATACAAAAAAAACACACAGCATTGTAAAATCAAAACACTCATCGCTCAACTCAGAATTTAAAATATACCTAGTCAAGGAATGGTTGACCCTAATAAAAGTGTTCTGCACACTGCGCACGTAGGCGTCTGTACATGTACCTATGTTTAATCAGCTGTGGTAGTATTGTGACTGAATTATGATAAATGTATCATAATCGCATTTAGTACACAATTACTCATTATTTTACCTGATATAATATTATTATTATCATTCATTTAATATTTATAACATTATAAACAAATGCCATAAATCATATTTACTTTTATTTCAATTATATATAAGTGTTAAATTTATTTTTATTTTATATGATCCAATTAATTTATAAGTTGTTAACAATGAGTGTTTTTTAACATCAGTTTTCAACTTTTTGATTATATTTAACAATACTAAGTATCGGCGAGAGTGGCTCAGGAGTTCGCGAAATATCGTGAAAACGATTTCAAACGATACACCGGCAGAAATTGTAATAAATATACAAGGATTGAAATACGGAATTACCCCGGTAAGCACCACACGAATGCAAGAGAACATATATTTGTTACATACATATAGCTATTAATTTATTATATCATCTATATTACTATCAGAGTATAAGAGTAGGTATAATCTTCTCTTCGGGGGACGAGGTGACCGAGTGGTCTGACGCATCCGCTGCGACGCAGCCGGTCGCGGTTCGATCCTCGGCCACCGGGTGGCATTTTTCTCCGGACAAGTCGCGGTGACCGGAGAACAAGTGCCGCCATCCCCCAACCGGGCATGGCAGAAACCTACGGGTGCCCAATAGAAATTCTGCCAAAAAAACAAAATTACACACGTGGTCCCCCCCTACAGTTCCAAACCCTACAGTACCACACAACCTACAGCTAATTGCCTTAGTTGCCGAAGCTTAAATCAAAAAAAAAAAATCTTCTCTTCTCTATATATAAAGGAAAGTTTCACTAGGAAAGGAGTTTTCAAAATTTTGATTTTAAAGGGTTGAAATCGTCAAAAAAATTGTTTATGTACAAATTGTATATCTATATACATATTTTACAACACGGCGACCTGTGAGTTTCCGTAACGACATGCAACCATAACTTTTTGTCCGTCTAACTATGTGTTTTTTTAGTTTTTAAAATAAAAATAGTTTAGTAGTTACCAACCAATAATGTATCATATGATTAGGATATAAAGTAGGTACTTAACAAAATGTGTAGTACGAATTTTTAAGAAAAATAAGGGCTGATGGGTATGATTAATGTATGATAATATAAAAACCATGAATTAATACTTAACAATAAAACCATTAATAATCATCATTTATTATAAGGTCAGTCGTCGAGACTCGAGAATCAATTTTAATAATTAAATAAACTAATATTATTTTCCACCATAAATTATTCATCAAATTATATTGTTGATACAAACATACAAATATAATTATTGACTTGCATGTTGATGTTATTGTTACAAAATGGTCCAAGGTCAAGCAAAGAAGAATAAAAATTTTAATGTAAGGGAGGTACTAGGTAACTAACGTAAATTACATGGACTATCTTGCATAGATAATATATACATTAGGTCATACACAAGGTTATGAAGTAAGGTTATTAAGTAGGTTTTTTAACTATGAGGGAGGGTGCGGTTGGGGGTCGGTTAGAACAAGTGCATATATGGCGAGGATTTGTCACTAAAACCTGGGTGGTATTAATGGTGACACCGGGTGATGCTTGATCTCAGAACACGTTTGTGACTGAGGCCAATTAATGAGCTACCTAGGCCACACAGTCCACAATCATTACCTTTTTTTATTTTTTTTTTTATTTTTTTTTTTAAGCTTAAAATCGAGAACCGGAGGAGGAACCATGTTGCCAATACTTCTCCTCCAGCCCCCATCGTTTATTGATCAATTATCAAATACACGAAGGAATTAGAAGTGGTGGGCTAATCTCCCACTCACTAACTATTACATTAACAATATTAAGCAACATTAGTTATACATTGTGCTCTTCTGCGGCCTGCCGAGCTCTTTCTTCCTCCTCCTTGGCCGACAGGATATCCTCCACCCTGATAACCTGAATACCTCCTCGGCCTCTCTCAGCAGCATCGACTTTTCTTCGGGATCCGCCGGGAACATCTCGAACGCTGGTCCGCAGATGATGTCCGGGAGATCAGCGACACTCGGTCGACGGCCCAGCCGTGCGCTGAGGTGTACACGGAACCCCTCCCAGTAAACACACTCGAACAATGTGTGTTCGGCGGTATCAGAGTCACCAGAGCACTGCCAACAACGTGAGCTGGCGGCCCTAGCCATCCGATGTAGGTAAAACTGGAAGCAGCCATGGCCCGGCAGGGCTTGTGTCATGTGGAATGATAGGGGCACCCACGGGACGGTTCTTCCCAGCCATCTTCCAATGTCAGGAATGGCGCGACGTGTCCAAGATGCCTTCTTGGTAGCAAGCCGTCTCACCTGCCACAGAGCAATTATTGCTTTCCACTCTTCTTGTTTCACTGCCGCTTTTGATGGCCGCAGTTGTCCGGGCTCCGTTGTGGCACGCGGCCGGGATCTTATCCTGCATCTTTTGAGTCTAGTGAGATCAGCGGGCGGCGTACAGGCCAAAACCAGTTCGGCCTCGTCCGAGACGGTACGGTAGGACCGGATCACCCTCAGGGCAGCGGTCCTCTGCGGCCGGATGAGGCTCGTCCGGCAGCGGTCCTCTGCGGCCGGATGAGGCTCGTCCTGGTTCTGGCGACATCGGTGATGGTGTGAATCCACACAGGAGCGGCGTAAAGCAATTGACTGTCCACGACTGAGCCGAGCAGCTTTCTTTTCCATTGGACTGGACCTCCAATATTCGGAACAAGTCTAGCAAGCGCCTGAATGGGCCGAAAAAAAAAGCCTGACCGCCTTTTTGGCGACGGTGTTAACGTGGTGTGCGAATGTCAGATGTTTGTCGAGAATGACCCCGAGGTATCTGATCTCGTTGCGCAGAGAAATCTGGTGATCGCCGACCACAAGCCGAGGAGGAACGAACGCCCGTCTCCGGGAGAGTATCACCGCCTCGGTCTTCTGGTGGGCCAGCTCTAGGCCCCTGCTCGCCATCCATTCGTCGATAGCCCTGAGTGTTTTGTTGATGCAGTCTTCCATTAACTGACCAGTCACGGCCATTTCTACGACGGCAAGGTCGTCTGCGAAGCCCACCAGCTGCACTCCGGGTGGCACATCCATCTTGAGGATGGAGTCGTAGGTGATGTTCCACAAGGCCGGGCCTAGCACGGACCCCTGCGGGACTCCACAGGTCACCGGTCTGACCACCATCTCCTCGCCTGTCAGCAGCACTCTATTGGACAGCCAAGACCGAAACATTTCCACCAGGTATTCCGGGGTGTTTATGCTCCTCAAGGCGGCGTCGATGACTGGCCACCTCTGGGAATTAAACGCGTTCTTTACGTCTAGGGTCACTAGGACGCAGAGACTTTTCTTCCGTGGGGTGGTGGCTGCCTGGGCGGCAATGTTGAGCACTTTCTCGACTGCAGACTCGGTACTGAATCCCTTCCTGAAACCATATTGGTTCGAAGCTCTTCTCCACCCGCCGTGTGCGTCGAGATGCTCTTCAAGTCTTTGGAGAAGGAGCCGTTCCAATAGTTTGCCCGGATTGTCGAGCATGCAAATAGGCCTATAGCTTGACGGGGCGTCCGGCGGTTTGTCCGGGCCTTTTCGAAGCAGCACATGCCGGGCCCTCTTCCAACGAGGTGGAAAAGTTACTGCGCCGAGGCAGTCGTTAAATACTCCGAGGACTGCGCGTGGCTGAGCGGATGCGAGGGCTTTGAGGACCTCGTTAGAGATCCCTGAAGGTCCAGCCGCTCTGCCCTGTGCGAGTCTCTTGACGGCTCTACTCAATTCTTCCGGTGTGAACTCTGGAATGATCCAAGTGAATTCTAGCGTGTCTCAGTGCTGGTTGAACGCCTGGAAGATGTCGAGTACAGCTAGACACGGAGCCAAGTCCCAGTTCGTAACAGGGGCCGCAGGAAAGAGAGAGTCGGCAATGAGGGCCGCCCTGCCCCTGGAGTCCACGGCTGGGTTGCGGGCGCCTAGTGTCTTCATTAACAGTTTATATGGTCTGCCCCAGGGGTCAGTGTCAACCTGAGCGCAGAGATCAGCCTAGGATTTGTTTTTCGCCTCTCGGGTGGCTATGCGAAGATTTCTTTTTGCAGCGATGTACGAGCACCTCGCCTCCTGGACGCCAGGCTGGTCAACGCGCTTGAGGCAGACTTGGTAGTGTCTACGGAGGGCCAGAGACAGCCGCCGCAACTCGGCGATCTCTTCCGACCACCAGTACACCGGACGCCTGCTCTGGGGACCAGTTTTTTTCCTGGACATGGATGCCTCGCAGGTGCCGAATAGGAAAGCGTCAAGCGATTCCGCCGAGGACAGGGCTTTTTCTGCGCATGCGGTTCCGACTGTAGCTCATAGGCACGTGGTGCTGAGGTGGCTTCGCAGGGCGTCAGCGTCCAGCTTCTTTACGGACCAGCCACGGTGGGCGGTGGCGGGGACTTCGACTCGAACCGGGCTCTGGGCCCGATTTGCCGTGCTAAAGCATACATAGTTGTGGTCTCTCGGGGTCTCGGTTTCAGGTACCTGCCACCCCGTGACGTCAACACCTCGGTAAAACGTGACGTCTATTATCGGGGTGGCTGCCCCTCTCACGAAGGTGGGGGTGGTTCCTGAGTTGGCCAGGATTAGTCCCAGGCTGGTGACGAGATCGGACTGTGGGCCGCCTCTAGGGTTGTTGTTCCTCGAGCCCCACTCGACGTTCCAGGCGTTGAAATCGCCGGCCAGGACAATCGAGGCGTTTCCCCTAGCGCGGATAGCCGCTTCAAGGTCGCCCAGAAAGTGTCCGTACTCTGCTAGTGTGGCTCCAGGTCTGAAGTAACAGCTGAAGACGGTCAGCTCACGGAAGGACAGCCAGGCAAACCCGTTTCCAGATCCCCGACCGTCGTGGCTGAGCGTTGCGTGACGCGATGTTCCGACGGCAGCCTTGCAGTCGGTGCTGAAGCACCATCGATCTTCATGCCCGTGTTTAGAGGCCGGTTCAGACACAATGAGTATGTCCGCCCCGACCTCGTCCGCTGTCTGTGCGATGAGCTGCTCAGCTGCCCAATTCGCGTTGAGGTTAATTTGAAGAAAATTAATCATCTGATGTTATTCTTCACTCCACCTGACTGTTTCCTGGCAGCGCACGCACCTGAGCCCGGTTTATGCGTGACCTTCTGGAGTCCAGCGGTTTCGCATGCTACGCAGAGGTCGTCCGCCTCGATGCATTCCTTCATGGAGTGGCCTATCGCGCCGCATTTCCAGCAGACGCCAGTCCTGTCCTCTGATGTGCAGTTCTTGGAGTTTTGTCCGAAGGCCTGGCACCTGAAGCACCTCTCAGGTGGCAGCATCCTGGGCCGGACTCGGCACATGGTCCACCCGATCGGGACTCTGGAGATCCGGGCGGCAATGTGTTTAGGCATTTTCGCCGTGGCGATCTGCTGTCCAGATCGGGTGCCCCATATCCTGACATCACTGACCACGTCCCGGTCGATGCTCACCGTTGGGTCGTCTTGACCAGGGATGACGTTGCGGAGTGCTTCCAGGACTTCTGTTGCGGTGGCGGCTGCGTCAATGTCCAGCACCTCGACCTCCACTTGTACGCCGAGCTGAAGCACTTTACCCAAGGAGTCACCTAGCTTTACCACAATTATTACCTATATTATTATCTACGGCAACTGTCATGGTCGTCGTCTCGTTATTTATCATTTACAAATGTACGGTTTTAAATGTATTTCTACTAAGATATAATTAATAATTAGAAAAAAAAATTAAAATATTTATTATTTATTATATGTCCCTTAAATAAGTGAACGCTACATAGACATGTTTTGTCCTACACGCATATAATATAGAAAATGTACACCCAACAGATCTCGTTTAGCTTCGTTAGTTTAAAAATTATATAGTCAACCGCCCAATTATGCAACTTGATGATAAGAACATTATATCTGTGTTGTGGGTTTTTTGCGATAACTCAGTTTTTAAGCGAATTATGAGCATTTTTTAATTTACTCTATATTATATATGCAAAACTTGCTAAAAGTTGAACTTTCATACCCCCCCCCCCCTCATACAAACACAGATAATGTTTTTACCATCAAGTTTCATAATACGTCAATTCGCTCCAATTTTTAAAAAGACGTTAAATGTGTCCCTTTTATCGATTCCTTTACACTCCATTTCAATAAAATACCTGTTATAGTTCATTATATTTATAAATACATGAAGTTATATTATCATATAATATTATAATTTGGATGGTTGGGATTGTAGCTCAAGAGTTATACCCAGTTATACACATTTTATGTTCATAAATTATAAATACCATTTCCCGGCAATCCAGCTAGACGCCTCGCGCCTCAAAAGAAACTGGTGCCGTGACCTGATAACTTAAGATTAAGTACTTAAAATATTCAGGGGTGTCACAAATGTGTGATTTCCCCTTCATGTATATAATTTAACCTGTGAACTATCTGTAAAATATTTATATTACTGATTGTACTCGATGTATAGATTATAATTTTTCATAATAAAGTCAAATATATATTTTTTTTTTTTAAATTTATAAATACCTACATAAAAATATGTACTTACCCAAAGTTTCATCATGAATGAATTATGCTGCACAGTACATCATCACATTCGACATATTATAACTAGGTATATTATAATATAGTATTATATATATTATATATATATTAATTATAATATATATTATAGTATATTATAACTAGGTACCTATACTATTGAGTAAACTTTTTTAATAAATACGGTTATCTTAATATTGGTAATTTATTTAAATTATTAACTTTTATTATGATGTATTAAGTTATGTAGACTAGGTACGTATTATAAATGTGTAAAAATAAGCTGTTAAAAAAATTTAAATGTTGATATCAATATACCCACACCACAGAAATATTATTCTGTGCCCCTACTAATAAAGTTTTGATAGAGCATGTCTCCCAAATGAGTAAAAAGAATGTAGTTATGTTAAGACTTAAAATAACAATAATACCAACAGTATGGTAGCCAAAATTCAATATTTGATAAATTAGTAAGTAGGCCGGTAGGTATTTTTGTGTTTTCTCGGGACGAAATCTCTCCCCAATCCGCCCATAGTCTTCAAAAAGCAGCTTAGAAAAAATAAAGGCTAAAAACACAAAGAAAAATGTAAATAAATTTTCAAGTTTATAATTGTAAGTAATACTAAATTCCATGACAAAGTCTACTTTGTCATGCTAAATTCTAATTGACATACCTTCGCTTTAGGACAATAGAAAAAAGAGCAAATGCCTAAAGCGGTCCCTACACGATCAATAATATTGCACAATAATCGATATTGCGCAATATTATTGACAGTCTAGTATAGATATTGAACTTTTGAAGGATTGTACAATATATTGAAGAAATCAAACTGGGTTGGAAATTTTTTGTACAATACACAATATTATTGAACGTTTGAATATGATATTGTGCAAAATTACGCAATATTTAGTATCATATCATATCGGTTGTGACACGTGTTGTGTCGTGTTTTTTTTATATTTTTCATTCTATTGATACACTATATCATACACTATGTCAACTAAAATGGAAGAACGTTCGTTTATAATCGAATGTATTAATTTGTATCGAGATCTGCCGGCACTTTGGAATGTCAAAAGTAAGGATTATTCCAATCGTAACAAAAAAAATGAATCCTATGAAACGTTAGTAACGAAGTATAAAGAAAAATATCCACAAGCCACTAAGGAAGACGTTAAGAAAAAAATGAATGCATTAAGAACAAATTGGCGTAAAGAATTCAAAAAGGTTAGTACACACAGTATATATACATAACTATATTATTACATTTTATTATAGATTTATAGTATCTATTTATATTGATGTCTGATATACAAAATGTTCAAAACATTCGTACTCTAGTTAAAAATTATGAATCATATACGTGATCTAAGGTTTGAACCACGGCCTTAAAAGAAAAGGTTCGGACAATTGTAGTATTGTAGTAAAATGATTGTACTTTATCTTCTAAGACCGTGGCTTGAACACATGGGATTTCCGAAATATGTTATCAGTATGACTGCATTGTTTTGTTTAGTTATCATTTGGATGATAATAATAAATGTGCTCCCATATCCCGCTATAATGCTGAATACTTGTTGTACCTCCATAGAATAGAGATTTAAGGATTTAACGAACTTCGGTCACGGTTAAAACATTCATGAACATTAATTATCTTATAAAATGTAAAATATTATAGTAATGACTTACATTTTAACAGACATTTTTCGATTAGTTACAATTGAGATTAAACAATACAATCCGAAAATGTACACCCTAGTGCGCGAGTACCTACCCGTATAATGTTCAGTAGATGCATGATAGAAAATAGTTTTTCAAAGTTTCAAGTTAAACTCATTCAAAACTCTTGTACTTTATTCAATTAGTGTTATTTTATTAATTTTTTTAATATGAATTGTAAATACCTATTACAGAGTTATATATTTTGAATGTAAGTATGTATTACCTGTACACTAAAAATATGAAAACAAGTATTATTTTATACAGCAGTTATCAAGGTCTGTAGATTTTTAAAGTAATTTTTTATATTTTAGTATCTGATTTCAATAAATTAAAAATGGAAAACATTGAACAAAGTATGCCTGGTTGTGCTCTTAAATGTCTTCGAAACGTTGAAGATGTTTCCCAAAATGTACACCAAGTTAAATATGGAGTGGTGCGTATTTACATATAATATACTGTTATAAATATTAATAATTAATTTCAAAACAATGTATATGATATTTACTATTTATATGTTCCTACATATTAAGGTTTTATTTACCTAGTGTATATGTATTAAAGCTTAATAATCCTTTGAAAAATATAGATTTACTTAGACTTACAAGTATTGAATCATCATAAATAAAAAACCTACCTTTGTCAAAATTAATTTTTTTTATTGTTTCAAAATTAGTATGTTTACAAGTATAAATCATTTTAAATTTTTATCTTAAAAAATCCATGTATCTGAGTATATTCCTAAACTAATTAAGTTAGATATATTTCCAAAGATATTTCAGAACACTTATTCAAGTTTAGGTTGTATTATTCAATCTCATATTTTATTTTTTTTAGAATACTATTGGAAGGGGATTAAACAATGATATTGTACTCAAAAATTTAAACGTATCAAGAACTCATTGCCACTTACGAGTCGAAAAAAAAGAATCCAAAGATATTGCATACATCAAGGATTTAGGTGTAAGTTTTTTTTGTCAGGTCTTTCTGTTACACTTTGTATACCTACTTTAGAGATCTTACATTAAATGATCTATATTTTAGTTTTACTGTATTTAAAATAGTAAGTATAGAATAAGAACATTTTCATAATATTTTTCCATACCACATTCTATAGTTTTTGAATTTTGCTAAAATAACTAGGTAATGAACAATTTAAAAAATTATATCTATGATGTACCTACTAAATTTGATTTTTTTTTATCATGAAATTATGCATTTCTGCTAACACTAGATATCTGGATAGTATGAATTTGTGATCTTATCTCAAGTTCTCTAAAAAAATTATTTATAATAAACTGTTGACTTGATTAAAAAATTACTTTGTGGCTTACTAGATCATTTACATGGTCAAAAAATAACTCAAAAATTATTTATCATAAATTACATTATAAAATTAATCATAACTGCATTATAATCAAATTTAACTCCAAGAAAACCTAGGAAATGGACTTATTACTAAACACTTTTTATGTTGCGGTAACAATTAGTTATTTAATTTAAAGAATTCCATATTTTAATTAACAATATTTGTATTAAATACTAGTTTTGATTTATATTTATTTAATTAACAATCAATATAATTATTTTTTAAGACATCAAATGGGACTTTTGTTGGCAATATAAATTTGATTGAATTTGAAGAACATCAGTTGAATGATTTAGATATGATTGTGTTAGCTAGTGGTGACGAAGGAGTTGTTCTACAATATATTGATAAAGTAGATCGTACTATTAATTTTTCAAATCAATGTGTAAGTTTAATTTGTTATTTTCTTAAATTTTTAACATTTTTTACATGAATATATAAAAAATAGATACATTTAATAATTATGTATATATTATGTAGAATAATCCAATTAATAATAAAAGAAAAGTACTGAGCGAAGAAAATTTGGATGAAGAATCAACTGCTGTAAAAATTCCAAAATTAAGTATGTTTTTATAAGTATTTATTAATTTCAAAACTAAGTAGTTCAGATATTCTGAGGGTTGAGACTCAAGCATGAGTTTTATTACTTTTTATATAACTTTCCAGTGAAGCCTTTATTCTGAGTATGTTTTTCATCCTTGATGAAAAAAGTAAAAATACATAATACCCTCATTTCATTTAGTGGTAGACTTACACATGAACCACATATTTGTAAACTCAAGTTTATTTTATTGTTTTATAGGTTTTTAATGAATTAAGATATCATTAATAACTACTATAATTAACTAAATGTTATATTCTTTTCTAATAAATTTGGTATGGAAATCCTTAGGAGTTTAAGACGTTATTACATAAATTCCAAATGACAAACAATACCTTGTGACTATTATTGTACTTTTAATTTTATTATTACTTTTTAAGTTAATTGCTCCATTGCAAACTGTCAAAATATGTTCTGTAATAATCATGAAAAAAATTATTATTATATAATTTAAATTTTTGTAACGTGACACATTTAGGAATTGCATATTGCCATAATATGCTGATGTCTATTCTTGGAAAATTGTTAATAGTAATATAAAAATATATATTTATTTGTTCTGTTAGGAGTCAATTTTTTTCAGTATCTAGTATATTTATTTGTATTTATTAATTTTATAATTGAGTGTCAACAATAAAAATTAAGTGATTTTAACATAAGAATAAAAAATACTATAAATTTAAAAAAATCTTAAACACACCCAAGCCAACCATATTGTTTCAAAAATATTATTCCTAGCACTCTAATAATTAATAGTAAAAATTCAAATTATAACAACTGTTGACTCTTAATTAGAAGCCTCAGGTTTTATATTTATTATTTAACATTTTAACACATTGCTGACTGGACCAAGATAAGCTTAATAAAACATCAAAACATTAATATGTTTTTATGCAGTATTTAGGACAAAAAAATTTTCTGACTTTTGCAGTTTCTATAACAACCAAAAAATAATTTTTTTTATATCAACTAATCGTTATTAGGTTAAATTGATTATTTACTTATCAATTTCAAAAAGCCTATTTTGCATCACAGTTGCAATTGCAGCCAAACATTAACACATAAATAATTAGTTTATTGGTATCCAATTTTGTCGTACACAATAAACAGTACTTTTTGACTTGTTAGAATTAGTTTGCGCTATATTTGTTACTATTTATTATAACCACTAACTGTTGTTACTACTTACTAGTAAACAAATGTAATGCATGATGATTGTGTCAAGTCTTTATTTATTAAATCATCATCAACATTACATGAATAAATACATGATAAACAATAAATTGAAAATAAATGTTCATTTTTTTTATTTTTATAAAAATTATG